CATTGCTGGACTGAATTTACATGGTCTCTTGGAGTTCCTTGGGCTAGGCCTGACATTTTCGTCCTAACCTGCATTTCAAAACCCGGTTTACTTCAAGCTGGAACCAGGAAAAATATGAAGCATTTCCAAATGATCAACCCAGAGGAGCTGTTGCCTTCACAGCTCACCTAATCACAACATGCCAGAGTAATTTCAATTGAAACTGGGGGGGGGGGAATCTTTTCAGTAACTTCAGTAACTTTTTCCAATACAAATGAGCCCGTGATCATTTACGCCCTCCGAGGACTTTCGTGCCCAAACTCAGCTATTAAATCACTTTCTACTCATAACAATTTCCCGTTTCCTCCCACTCAACTCACCACTTCCAAGCTGCACGACCGAACAAGCGATCGCCGAAGTGCTGAAAAATCTTCATCGTTCTCTTCCACCAATCAGACGCACGGTGAACCCAACGCCAGATTTCAGCCTTAAAAGAACCTTTTCGAAGCCAAACAGCTACCTTAGACAAACCATTCTACTCGTGTCAGTCTTTCCCTTTTTTTAACTGCTTTGATTCATCCCCCAAAACTAAAAAAAAATGCTGCTTTGTTGAAAAATCCACTGTAAAGATCTAACAAAATTATCCAGGACCTCTCAGCTTATTAAAAAAAGGAGAAATGCCCAGTGTACGTGTGAAAGAATTACTTTTGTTCCTCCAGCTTCTCTTTGCCCTAACACTGGTTTGCAAAGAAGCTTTAATCAACCCCAGATTCCAAAATGGGCCTTTGCATAACAAACCACAACCATCCTTAGCTTCATATTGGCTTTTTCGCTGTTGTTAAAATCTCTCCTATTCACAACCGGCCGCCTTCTACTTGAATAGGCAACTTTCAATTCTTAAGGAGGCAGTGAAAATAATTTGGGGAAGTGAACGTGAACTTCAAAAAAAACCCCAAACTGTTGAAAGAAAGGTGCAATGCCGGGAAATTGAATTGTGAAGCTGCTGTTCCTCGTAATGCCTCGCGTCGCTGGTTTTTCCTGGATGCCGGCTCCACGCTCTGCTTCTCGAGAAGCTCCGAGTGTCTCCTGCAAAGCTTTGGCAAGTGGATTCATCTCAGCACACAGTCATTATATTGTACGATCCCAGCACAGCCCAGGGGGAGGAGCACCCATGTCTCAGCTGCTCCAACCTGGTGATAAAAATGGGTGATGCAAGTCCAAAGTTGAATAAGCGACAACCCTGCCTTTAACCCATCAGCTTCCACACCACGGGAGGGCCTGATGGTCACCTGAAAAGGAGGCGTGTTGGCAAAGTGCCCCGGGCAGGATCTGAGTCAATACTGTTCCTCCGCCAGTCTTCTTGTGATGTCGGCCAGCATCAGTTCCTTGTTCTCTTGTACACATGTCTGCAGGTGTGTGTGGTTTTTGGTTTCAAACTTGGAGTCTATTTCTTTGCAAAAGAAACTAGAAAACAGCTGCGGACAGCCAGCAAAGATGCTGCTGGAATGGGCAGGGCGGGGGAGAGAAACCAGCTCAGTGGCGAACTTGTCTGGAATCGGTCCCTTAATGCCCAGGTTGAGGAGTGCATTAAAAAAATCAAGTTCAACCACAGTTGACTCAGAGACGAAGAAAGGAAGGACACAGGTTACGTTGTTCGACAAGTCAGCAATTATTAACCCCGTCTCTTCTACGTTCGGGCCTGACCGCGCAGCTTCAGTCGATCGGATCACTCGGCGTTCTGCCTTCGTCGTGGGCGAGCATTGTTTTTAAGGAGTGGAGAAGTGGGAGAACAAGGAGGACGTTTGACTTGCCTGGGAGCTAAGAGAAAACCAGCAGGATGGGATCTAAGTTGATCTAGCCACCGACTCAAGCTGGCACCCTCCCAATGGGTGGGACAGCAGCTCATCGCAGTCACAGAAGGCGATGGGAGTTGTGGTTTCAGAGCACAGTTGCGGAAAGCTGACCTCAGGCCTATGGGGCATAGCAGCAATAGGAAATGCCCAAATAGCTTTCTGTGGACCCAGAGTGCGGTTTGGATCGTGAGAACGAAGCTGGAATTGGGTGGTGGAGGCTGGGCTGCTGAATTTACCCCCCCACAAAGCTCACCAAGCTGCCTTCGCAGCTCCCCGAACCACAACTTGCCGAACCAATGGAGTCCCACCGCAGACTAGCACGGAGCCAGGTTTTGTCCAAGATCCGTGGAGTTTCTGCACGGTTGGGCTCACCTCTTACGAGGCTAGGCCGGGGTGCCAGTAGCCTCTGTTAGCATTTAAGCCACCGGAAGGGACGTGTGGCATCACGTGGCTATCCCACGAGGTCCCAATCTCCAGAAAAGCTAAGGAGTGGAAAGCAAAGCAGTTCAGGCCCTGAGCAGAGGCAAAGGTCCCACGGCGAAGCTATTTTTATTTAGCCGGGGAAATTCTCCACCCTGCCGTGGGCTGAAACCGCTTTGCGACTCATTGTGTTCTCAAGCTTACGAAGCAAGGGAAGTTCCTGGCTCAAATTTCATCCATGCAACCAATGGAATGGACAATTTCAGGCCAACTTGCAAAGCCACCCACCCGCAGCAAGTGTAATTCAAGTCTATGCAGAAGACTCCCATCCACCGTGAAAGCAGATCTTCCAAAAAATGATATAGACACAGGGAAATCTGCCAAATGAATCCCCAGAACTGAAACCAAACAGAACCACTTAGCAGAGTTTTCTCTGCCAAGTGACTGAAGTTCTACAGGTTTCCCCCCCCCAAGTCCTGTTATCAGCTTGCAAAGTTATACTAAGTGATGACCCTACAAACAAAGATTCTAGTCCTCATTGTACTAAACAAAAAGCCCATTTAAGAAGCAAGATAACTAGACCAATATTTCAACATTGACTAGCAGCAATTCTTTAGGAATCCCAACAACTGTCTTTTCCAGTGCAGAAATACTAGGAGTCGAACTCAGAACTGGAGACGCCGCCCTTCTCTTAACACAAGTTTGCCATTCCTGGTCCTCGTGGGTTTCAAAAGAACACACACACCCCATTTCTTGATTGTACATATGTAAACAAATCTTAAAAATCACACCCATACATCTGGAAACACCAGACTTCTTTTAAAAGAAGCTACTTGAAAAGCTGCCATGCAGAAGATAAATCAGAATTATTCTCGGGTAAATAGATTCCACTGAAAAGTTAGAATAAAAAATTCTAATTGGAGAGAGATCTTTTGCAGTGGGAAAGGCAGGCAGATGATGTCAGGCGTGGTGAGTCTGATGGAGGCATTTAAACAGAGGATGGGGGATCTTCTATCAAGAACATCTTGGAAGCATCCTGAATTTGGTTCTGGACCAAACATGCGAATTCACACAACATGCTAGAAGCTTGAATAGGTTCAATCTTGGTTTGTTTGCAACCTAGCCAATTTGGATCACTGTCTTTGTGCAAGTGCAGAAAACTCATGAATTTAATCAACAGGTAAGCTGGTTATGCTGACATATTTGCAAAGACAGGGAAGTCCTCCATGGCTTCTCATCGCATGAAGACTGAGAGAAGGCACACACATTTTTTAAGTGTCTGATATTGTAAAGCTACATGAACAGAATCTTGCAAGTCTGAAAGTACAATTCTCCTCCCATCTCTTTTACAGCCTGAGAAACTCGGAAAGGTCTCTTCTGAGCCTCTTGCCCCATCCACTCTCCATCTCAGGGCTATACTGTCTCTTATCTGACCGTTCCCTAGGCAGTGTCTCTGGGCCCAGTCTCCTAAGGTTTTTCCCACATACCATTACACCTTAAAACAGTAGCACCTGAACTCAAATCTCTACAGATGTCAGCCCTTAGAGGTAACCCAAGTCAGGAAACAAGAACCATTGGAACTCTATTGTTAAAGGTTCAATAACAAAGTCTTGAAAGCCTAACAGATCTCTTTGCCCCTCTTATCCTGAAGAAAATCAAGGTGAGGCAATCTTGACCTTCTTTCTCACTCCCTCCTCCCTTCCTGGTATTTAAGCCACGGCTGTTGAATTCCTTCTTCAAGGCCATTTCTATACTCCTCTCCAGCCATGCAGCTTTTCCCAAACCTGAATCTGCCAACTTCTGACTACAACTCCAATCATAGCTTGCCAACTGGGTTTTGGATCAGAAATAATGGGCAGGTGATCCCACCTTTGGTAACTCGAAGTCAGAAAGAGCCATTATATAAAGGAAGCTACTGAGCAGCAGAAGAAAAATGAACGAGAGAGTCATACAATTCTCCAAGGAATTCTCCAACCCTCCGCGTTGTGCAGGAAAATCAATTAAACCATCTTCCAAAGGTGACTGTCCAGTCACTCTAATGGGCCTGCCTTCATTCCCGTTCAGTGCCACTGTAAATATCCTACTGAAGAGTACTCAAGGTGACACGCGCAGATGCAATCCGATGGAAGTTATACATTGGAAAGGCAACAGGGACGCACATCAACCATTTTCAGTGCGAGTTTAAACACTATGCAGACATACCTCATCGTATTTAAAATGCCCATTTTTGGAGAGAGTTCAGCCTATTTCTGAAGCCCTTTCTACGAAGGAGGTCAGCTTCAGAACTCTCCCCATACCATGGAACTCAAGCTTTTATAAGAAACAAAGAATCCACCCAGGGACCACACCTTGATGAACTACCTTCTCTCCATGCCTAAACAAAGTGCCCCCTAGCTGCCCTTTTATGGACATGATCGAAGAAATTTAAGTCTATCTCTGCAAAGCAGTAGGTGTTGCGTGAGCTGAATGAGAGCTTTTATGGCAGAAACGAGGAAATGGTTCTCCGGAAGCCAGGGAACTTACCAGCCAAAGTACAAATTCAGTCATTCAGATTAAGGTGTCTGACTTTCTCTGCTACAGTTCCTTAATCAGCTTTGCTACTGGAAAGATAAAGAAGACAGAGGAAGTTTCCCACTTACATGATCGTCTGGGGATTCTGCAACATGCAAGCTTTTGGTCCAAATGTGGTGACAGGGCATGGTCCATGTAAGGAACGTGTCCTCCTGAAAGAGAAACGGCAGGATTTAGTTCCTAAAATCTAGAGGAGATGTGAGATTATCTTCAAGGACAAAAGGGGAGCATCGATTTACAATTTACCGCCCCAAATCATCATAATAAGCAAAAGCAACCAAGTCTGGTTTGGCTCCAAATTCAGAAATTTAATGACTTTCCTGAAAAATGTACTATATCCTACAGACGGGGTTCCCAGCACAGAGTCAACATGTGGTTAGTCTGATTTTGACTTAAGGACACGCGTGGGAATCCAACCACAGTGGCTTGAAAACTGTATTTTACAGCTTAAGATATCAGGGGAACTCAAAGTGCAGAAGGAAAAAGGAATCTCACCCACGAGTTGAAAGAAAAGAATGAACGGGAAATAAAAGATAGACAAATGGCAAAAGAGATGGTCAGATCACTTCCTCTAAGGCTGGAACATCTGGTGTCATCATCAGGATGTTTCGGCTGAGATTGGAATAGGAAGTTTCAGTGTGGGAACGTCACAACTCTCCGAACACAAAAAAGTAGCATCTTTTTAATGATATTTACAGGTAACAAAATTAGGGTCAAGGCTTGGTTTGTTCTAGCCCACTAGGAACGAAGCAAGCTGTAGTTCCCAACTGTCAAAAAATCTTAAGAGATCCCTGGATGGTCCTGTCTGGATTTGTTTAGCTCAGTGTTTTTCAACCTTAGCAACTTTAAGATGTGTGGACTTCAACTCCCAGAATTCCCCAATCAGCAAGCTTGCTGGGGGATTCTTGGAGGTGAAATCCACACAACTTACAGTCCACACATCTTACAGTTGCCAAGGTTGAGAAACACTGGTTTAGCTAATGCAAGAACAATCATGCACTGGTTACTGGAATGTCCAGATGTAGCTAGTGGGGTAGATCCCAATTTTGTCACACTTGGAAGAGACCAGAGGCGTTCAACTTTTTTCAGACTGAGAACGCACCTTTGATTT